GAAGGTCGGAAGCCTGAAAACTAACAAAGTCGGCGACAGAGTCACCTGCGACGGCATCCGCGTGAGTGTTCCATCCGGAAGGTCGTCGGCGTAAGCCACCGCCCCGGACGTGAATTGCCAGGCTAATGTTGACTTTCTAGTAAAAGAGGGAAGAAGGACGAGTTTGTCATTTACATTGTTTTTTAGGAAAAAGAAAGGAAAAAGAAAATAGTGAAAAAGTATTGTCAAATTAAATAGTTGGTGAGATAATATTGTTATCCGTATGAAATATTTTGGTTGTGTACCTAATTTACACACTTATTATTGTGAGTATAAATTCTTTTGTTATTGTTACTTCCTTTTGATTATGTTTACAATATTTTGTTCATTGATTATTTGAAATAAAACTCTAGTACTTGCCAAACAATATCAGAATTTGAATTCTAGAATTAAAATTATGAATTTCCCAAACAGGCATTTGGATTTGAAATTATGATTTTTGAATTTCTTGTGTTTGCCAAACACCGAAATGGAATTTGAATTATGGAATTTCAAATTATAGAATTAAAATTCAAGAATTGAAATGAATTTCCCTATCCAAACACTACCTTAATAAAATTGAATTCACAATTGAAAATTCGTTTGGAAAAAAGGGCTCATGTGCAATAGCCAATAGGCGGCATGGTACTCCTTTCTCCAAAAACAAATTCAAATTAAAACAAAAGATTATAAAGTAAATCCATCAAATTAATAAAAACACTCAGTCTAACTAACTGTTACTCTTCCACTTAAATTTTCCCACCTAAATGAGTTAGGCTCGAAATTCAAATTCGAAAACTTCTCAATGAATCAACTTAACCAAAATTTTAATCTTGTCATGTGGTTATGACTCAGAAAAGATTATTTATATTTCAGCACGCTCTCTCACGGATAGACGTTATTTTTTTGAGTCTTGCATGTGAAATTTTTTTTTTTTTAAACCAGATAATGCTAAGTTTTGAACCTATGACTTCTTGATTAACAATGGCTCTGATACCATGTTAACGAACAAACTCAACCAAAAACTCAAATTTGTAGTTGTGGCACAGGAAAATATTTTTATACTCAACAAAACTTTTTATTGGATCTAATTACTGTTTTTTAACTTAATAACGCAAAATGAGTACGTTAATGCTTCCGTCTCTTCTTAAACTCAAATGTGTGTGAGCTTCTCTGTGAATCTTGAGACGCGAGCTTCCTACCACGCAAACATAGAGAGAAGCTCATACCCATTTAAGAATTGGTTGATCTTTTTAGGAGTTATATACTCCGTAAACAGTTACTACCTCCGTCCCAAAAAAATTTACATGTTTTGACTAAAGTTGAAATTAAAGGAGGGATAATTTTGTGTTGACTTTCCAAAAATACCCTTGATGTGATGGGTAAAAGTAGGATGTGATGTGTAGATTATTAGGAAAAAGGTATGATGTGATAGGTAGGGTTTGAAAAAGTAAGGGGTAAAAGTAGTTTTTTAATAGAAATGGGTAGAAGATTGTTGGACGTAATTTTTTTGAAAGATGTAAATCTCTTTGGGACGGAGTATTTAATAATACTAGGATTATCATTTGTTTAACTTATTTTCTTATTAACTTGTTTATTTGAGAAGGTCCATAGTAGAACTAGAGAAGCACTCGATCAATTCGGTTCCAATTACGAGGTTTGACTAAGTTCATTTATAATTTAATTTATTTAAATATTGTTATGAGTTAAAATTACTTCTTCGCCCCAAAAAGAATGACACAGTTCACTATTCAAAAATCATATGATTTTTTTATTTATATATTTTTTTCATCGTTAATTTGATAAAATAACATATTTTTGTAAAATCTTGTTTTAAAGAATTTTTGACATAGTTTTTAAATATGTAAATTTTATTTTTGGGTTAAGTATGTTTTTGGTCCCTATAAAATAAGTAATTTTTGCTTTTAGTCTCTCTAAAATATTTTTTTTATTAAGTCATCGTACTATGAAATCATTTATTTTTCAAATAGTCTTCCCTATTTTTTTGACTTTGGAGCTAATGTTGAGTTTATTTTTAGTTTATAAAAAAAATTAGTATGCGTAATTTTGTTTTTGGTCCATGTAAAATGTTTTAAATCCAAAGCCATTTTGCATTTGGCCCTTTTTAAATCCTAACAAATAAACTGCTCTAAGTTGGTATGAAGACCATTTGCAAAAATAAATATTTTATAGAGATGATTTCATTAAAAAATTATTTTAGAAAAACTAAAAGCAAAAATCGTTCATTTTACATGGACCAGAGATATATTTAACCCTTTAGTTTAATTTCTACACCAACTTCTAAATAAAATGAAATTGAAAAAAATTTAAAATTTTTCTATGTGGCAAACAATTTTGGGATGAAGTAGAAAATAATATTCACCGGCCGTGTATCTACTCAAAACATTTGTCAACAAGGTGACAGAAATAGATTTTTTAACAAATTATTAAAGTTGCTCCCTCCGTCTCAAATTAATCTTTCTATCATTTTTAGAAAAAAGAAATTGTTTAATTGATATTTTCGGAGACGAAGGAGAATTGATATGAACTTAATTTCTTTCATTTGTTTTAAGGGAGAAGAAGTTTATTCTGAAACAACCAAAAAAAATTTAATTTCAACGGGAAGAATATTATTTAAAAAAGAAGTTAAAATTTGAACGTTTGATAATGAATCCACGGACCAAGTCTATGAAAGGAAGAGGCCGTGAAGCTCAAGGGAGGACTGCAAATGCTAATTGTGTACGGACGACATGGTCCGTCTTATAAATCCAAGTTGAAAATTTCGGGTTGAAATACCCATTATCAGATACTCCTCGTCCCTAAATATTTGTCACATTTGTATTCTCGAAGCGAAATATTAACTTTTTTTAATTCATTTTATTTACACATTGGTATAGAAATAAAAAATAAAATTTACATATCACAAAACTACATGAAAAATTCATCGAAAGAAGAGGTGTCATGAATATTTTATTTTATCAAATAAACAATGAAAACATAGAAATAAACAAAAGTTCCCGCGACAGCAAAAAAATCAAAAGTTGCAAATAATTTGGGACGGAGGGAGTACAACATTTTTTTGTTGTTCATTTACGATCAAAATTTAATTTAATTCTTCTTAGTGACACTTCAATTAGATCGGAAGGAGTCCTCGAAAATGTGGCTTGCTTGTCTTTTTTGAAATACCCATTCACAATCTTTACAGAGAAATTTACTCAAATAAGATGTATAAATCTCAATCATTCAAATACGGAATCACATCTGTAATTACTAATACAATTTTCTCTTTCTATTTAAAAAACTTCATTCGTCCATTTTTGTTTAAGAAATATCCTGAATAAAAGTAAAAGAGCGTGAAAATACCAAAATAAAAAAGCATAAGCCTTTTAAAATCAAAACATGAGATAATGATAGTGTGGGGTAAGAATACACATTAGTAGTGTGATTAAAAAGTAATGATAGTAATATATGTCAGTGTGATCAGTCAACCGTCGGTGATCCGCAATGGTACTCTGATGGCCGGAAGCGGCAGATAGCAGTGTGTCGGTGATAATGTGACAATTACAATGTAACAATGTGCTGAGTGTAGCTGTGTAACAATGGCATTGTGAACTTCTAGTTTGATCTTAAAAGACTTATGACTCCTATTTTTATATTTTCATAATTTTTTTCTCCTCTTTACATACTTCTCCTTTTTTATTTTCTCAATTACTATTGCGATCTTCCGGTAATTTATACTTCAATATTTGTTTGCAAATTTCTTTAATTATTTGATAAGATAAAATATTTTTGTCACATTTTTTTGTAGAACTTTTGATACATATAGTTTTGAACAATTTAATTTGTACTTCCTTCGTCTTAAATTATTTGTCTAGTTTTGACTTTTTACAGTAAATCAGATTTGACATTTGACCTGTAATTAAATAAAAGATTATATGGTATATTAATTAAATAAAAAAGATTTGAAAATATTTTATTCTTATATCAATATCAAATATGAATTTTATTTAATTAATAATCAAAGTTTATTAATTTTGATTTGAAAAAATTAAAACATGATAAAACATCTGGGACAGATGTTATATTTTTTTGATATACCAATTTGTATATAAAGTAGATTTGAAGAAGATGAGATTTTGAAGGCTATTTGAAATGAAAAGATAAAAAATAGACTAAGGGAGCATGTGATTCAAAATGTTTTCTTTCTCCAAAACAAATTCTTTTTATGTTTAATACCATTATCATTTTAACACTTTACTTATTTATAAAAAAAACTTTTTAAAAAATGGATAAAATTTAAAATTTGAGATGAATGACATAAAATGGGTCAAAGATTTAGTTATTGGTATTAGAGTGTGATGGAAGTAGTTCTCCGTTATTTTTTTCGAACATTAATAACTCTATTATAAACTAATACGGAGTATCTTTTTATATAATTTTAATTCATTAAAGCTAATAGAGATACTGCATGCATCAGAAATCGAACACATGACGTCTAATTTAAGAGAGTCATAACGGTGCTATTGGACTACAAACTTTTTGGTTCATTCTGATTTAATTATTTTTTTAGTATTTGGAAAAAAATATGTATAATATCATATTTTAAAATATATTTTTTTACGAATTAGTATAAAAGGTACAGATTATATCATTCAAATTTACATCGGAAATGTTTATTTTATCAAAAAATTAAACTAAACTTGCATATAAACATTCATTATCAAGATATTGTTAATTGTAATTATAACTCGAAAAATTAATCCAAGTAATAAGATAAGGAGTAGAAAATATTACTCCTTACAAAATAAATTTCCAAATAAAAAAAAGAGAGAAAAATCAACTAATTCTCCTATTTAATCTATCCCAACATAAAAGACTCGCCCGTCGGCCACACCCACTTCACACCTTTGTCCCCTCCCTCTCTCTCTCTCTCTCTAGACCAGAACGGGAAGAAGAAGACGAAGAAGACAAGCGCACGCGTTTCCTTTCTCCCCGGCCTTCATTTTATCTTCTTCATCACTCTTCTCTCCGGACATGCCGGAGCTCGCAATTCCACATTGAAGAATTAATCCTCCCCACAAATACGGTCTGTATATAAATACTCCGGCGGGGATCGATCGGAATAGCATTGGGTTAGATTAGATGAGGTGTAAGAAACATCAGTCGGATTCGAGCAGCGGCGTCGGCGTCTGCGCGTCTTGTCTCCGGGAGAAGCTGTTCGCCGTGATCCTTGCCCAGGCCCAGGCCCAGGCGGAGGCGCGCATCCAGCACCGGGTCCAGGGCGGCCGGAAGTCCGACACCAGTCAGTCGGCTGCGCCGGGCTTGTTGTTTCCCCGCTCTGTTTCGCCCTACATCTCTCGCCGGAAATCTGATATCTCCAATTGGAATCACGCCACCAGCCAGGCGAGCCGCCGTAGCTGGGCTGATCAGAGATTCTTCAGCACCCCGCAGGTTGGGGCCCACGGGAGAGTAATCGACGGCGGAGATTATGACAACATTCAGAAGAATATGAAGAATCTGAGGAAGAAGAAGAAGAAGAGTTACGGGTTGAATCTTTTGAACAATCTGTTTGGATCTAAATTGGGGAAACCCGAACCGTATTCGGATCCCAGGGTTTCGAATTCGGAAGACCCGAATGCCGACGCGACGTCTTCGTCTTGGTTCTCAGCTATTTTCTCCGGCCGCCGGAAGAAGCAGAGCCGGACGTTTTCGGTGAACGAGGACGCTTCGATCGGGGGTAGGCGGGTGAGCAGTCAAATTCGAGATCGGGGAATGTCGCCGGCGAGGTGTTCCGACGACGAGGACGACGGTCATTGCCGCGGCGGATCCAGCGGGTACTCGTCGGAGTCGTCGCAGGGGTGGAAACAGACACCGAGGCGGACGCCGGCTTCCACTTCCAGCCGGACGGCCGCCGGGAAGTCAAGCCGGAACCGGAACGTGTCCGGGATGACGTTTTGCTTGAGTCCGCTGGTGAGACCCAGCCCGAACTGGCAGTGGAACCAGAAGGGAATGCCGCCGGAGATGGTTTACTCCGGCGAGATCAGAGTTTCCTCCAAGTCCGTTGCGACGTCGTTTTGCAAGAGCAGATCGAGAAAACTCGCCGATTTCGGACGGTTCAACCACCACCATTGATTACAGTTAGCGCCCAACCGCTGACCACATCGGAGATTGCGACATTAGAGGAGCCATGTAATAATAATAATAATACAATTATCTGTCTAAAGTCTGTTTTTTGACAATTTTACCCTCGCTTGCTGAATTTATTTTTTATTTTTTTCAAAATTTCATACCACGAAAAATGTACTCTCTCTATTTTTTTCACTTGTTATTATTAGATACATAATTTTGCATAGTATACCCTCACCTCTATGTTTCCTTTTAGTTCCTATCAAATGATTTTTTAAACCCTTTCATATGCCTAAAAAGGGGCCTATTTAAAAATGGCATTAGCGTGTTGAAAAAATTATCTACGAACATCATTTAACGTTAGTATTTTCAAAATAATCTATACTGTTAAAATTTTATCTAAAACGCTAACGCTAATCTCTAAAACTATTTCCAAACAGAGCCAAAAAAATAAAGAGTCTGCTCCTTTTCTGATTTGTGCAAGGTTTCATTTTATGTATAGTTACTTTCTTTATTGTTGTAAGTCAAACTTGGAAAAAGCGTTATAAGTAGAAGATAGAAACATTAATTGGATATCATGCAAATAATTTAGGATATGTTTGGTCTAAAGAAATTTATTTTCAATGAAAAGTTTTTTTTTGTCTAATAAAATTTTCATAAGCTCTTAAGTGTTTGGCAAATTATGCTAGAAACCAATACATCTCCACCAAACACTCCCTTAAATTCTTTAGGATCTCAAGGTCATAGAATTTGAATTGTTTGTCCAAACACATCTCTCTTTTGGTAATTTATAAATTACTTGTCCAAAGTTCATAAATTAGGGGAGAAAAAAAGTGAGACAAGGTCATGCCTTAGTTGGGGGAGGGAAGAGCTTTTAAGTTATGGTGGAGGGAGTCAACTTTTGCAATAAGTTAGTGTTTGACATCACATAATTTTCCCTCTGTCTGAATTTCATTGTCAATTTTTTTTATTATATTTTTTGTTTGTGTGAAATTAGTTTTTTCTGCTTTCCAAATTCAACAAAAATAAATAACTATAAATTGCTTTAAAATATTTTAGGCATAGGGTATGCATATTGTTAACATGATTAAAGGATATACTAATTTGAAAGGTTTTTTTTGAAAATTTAATTTATTTTTGAAAGTGTGCATTAAAAAAAATGAACAATTAAATTGGGAAGGAGATTGGAATAACTCATAATTATGGTACCACCAAGCAGCTGAATAAATAAATACACTATGGCCTACCCCTCACCATCCTCATTATATTGCCCTCTCCCCTGTCACTCACAAAAATATATTTATTTATTATTATGGCACTCCCTATTTCTCAATTTTTATTATAATTTTTTTCTGTCTTTTCGATAATTTTTATTTATCTGTGTATTTACATTGACTATTTGACAAAATAAAATATATTTTCACCTCTTGTTTTGTAGAACTTTCGATGTAATTTGTTTATATGTAATTTTTATTTTTTATTGATATACCATTTTGTAAATAAAATAATTTCAAAATATGCGAGATTTTGACTAGTAAATCGCAATTTCTAATCAAATTTGGGACAGAAAGAGTATTATTTTCAAGACATTAATCCTATCTAAACTTAGGCAAACTTAATATCTAGACAAGCAAATTATTAATTTTATCACGCCTCCTTATGTTATCAAGTAGTAACATTGATATGTGAAATTCACATGCGTGACATTTACTATTGAGACTAGTCATTACTCCATAAAATATTATTCTCTTCGTTTCCAAAAATGATCTTTCGATTTAATTTTTATTAGTCAAAGTTTATAAATTTTGACATCAATATGTGAAAAAATACATTGTATTATTATATAAAATTAATATCAATATATTCCTATGAAAACATAGTTTTCAAATGTCATTTTTCGTAAAATTTATCTGTGTATAGATATAAATATTAATGGTCAAAAAACAGCATTAGAGACCGTGAAAAGTCAAATGAGAAAAATATTTTTTCCTAATGGAGGGAGTAGATCTCAATTAAGATCTGTCCGTGTAGCTTATTTTTTCAGTTTATTACTTATTTTTATTAAAACTAAATCGGATCAAATCAAATTAGAAACAAACAACTTTAAATACAACTATAATTAGATCAAACCAAATTTTCAAAAATTAAAATCAGGTAAGACAAACAGGACGCAACCTTAGAAGCTCAAGTCATCAAGTCATCACATAAATGCCTTGTGCGAGTTATTTCAATTGAAATTGTCAACATAATATGTCCCCATTATTCCATTAAATTATGTCAACAAGTTGTTTGGGAAGATGAGGATGAGAATTTAGAGAATTGAATTATGAAAATTAAATTGAGAGTTAGTAGATGTTATAAATATTTTTTATTCCCACAAACATGTTTCATATATAAATAGAGAATACATTGGATACGTAAATCAACTGATAATCAAGGAGTGCAATGGCGCAGTGTTACAGTCAAGTTTGGCTCCTAGTAAAGACAAATGGACAATGTATGACTTTTATATTTTGCACAAGGTCTTTATTGCAACTCAACTAGGATAGATTCTCGTCGTTTTTGTTGTTTAGTGCGATATTAAAGTTTAATTTATCCTCTTTAAGATATCTAACGGAGAAACAGAGTATTTATGATTGGTATGGTATTTATATAAATATTGTTGGGAGTTAGGCTCTAACCAAAACTGTTATAAGCACATTTGAGCCGTGTTTCGAGTTAGATCCACAAATTCTCTAATCAAAATTTGACAAAAGTTTGATCGAGTTTGAATTTAGGTTAAGAGAGTTGATCTCAAAGAATTTTTCAGTTGATATTCTGATATTTTAAGGGCATATCCGATTCATTAAAATAAGATTCGAATTAGATTGTCATTTCTACCCCTAGGCTCGCCTCTTCTTTGGACCGGACCCAAAACCCCTTGTCATATGGGAGTAACCGTAAAACCAACATCACAACCAAAGTAGACTTCAATTCAATTCCTTATTCAATTCATATCGTACTACATATATTCTGTTTTGGAGTTATACATTTTTCAACAATAACCTATTTTCAACTGTAAGATAAAGTTTGCACCACTATTTCAAATCCAAATATGAGTTGTAATTTGGGGACTTCGATCAGTTTTCTTTTCTTCCAGATTATTAGTACTCAGTAATATTTTTTTAATTTTTTAACTTACAACATTTGTCTTTTTGGCTAACATACTTTTATGATTTATTGCTATTTTTACTTATCAAAATATACAAAATTATAAGAAAAAGAATGTATTGTAAGAATATTGTATTGATTTTAATTTGTTGTAATAGATTGGAGATTCTCTTAGTTGTGGCTATAATTAAAATATGGTGCTACAAGTATATTATATTATTTTTTGGTATAAGAATTCAAATGCAGGATTACCTACGTGCACTGCTAAAATAAACTTCATATTCTATGCATTCAAAAAAATTAAACTCCACATTCTATGATTATTTGAAATGATCAATTAAACAGTTTAAATTTTCATCAAATATAATGACCATTTTGATGGCAAGTACTCCCTATATTTATTTGTACATTATATTATTGTAGTTATGGTCTATATCTTAATCAAATTCGTGCCAGTGGCGTTGCGGAGAGTTGGTAAGACAAAGAGTGTCAAAAGGATTCGTGGAAAGTGTGCTGAAAGGTAATTATGCTAATCATATAGTCTCTACAAGTACCAGGTGAATGTTCTACTATTTGTCACTAATTTCTAATCAAAGTCCAATTTACTTTCTCTGTCTGATCGGGTATGAAGGAATCTTAGTCATCATCTTAATCAAATTCCATATTAGGACACCAAATAATTGAAAAGCTCATTCACTAACCAGAAATGCATCATTGAATTGGCTAATCATTGCCAGAAAAGTGTACGTTGAATACGGAGTATTTTACTACAAGTAATTGAGAAAATTCAAATGTGCATTCTTTCTTTAACGATCTTTCACCCCTTTAATTTGAACTTAACGTCACTCATTCACTCGCTTTTCTTGGGACGCGCACGTGCAAGATTCGCTTTGGGTGGACCTAATCCTATTAATTTACTCCTAATTACATTTCTTACTTTGATTTCAATGAAATTTAAAAAAATTAATTGAATTTGTAGTTGAGAGTTGAGACTTATGTAGATGAGAGAGATGTAATGTGAGTAATTATATTCAATATGTAACTTTAAAAAATAAAAAAATTTATTTGAAGACATAAAAAAAGTGAAATTTTAATGATTCAGTCTTGGGTGTGGTACGATACGGTACTTAATTAAAAGGTTGTTCTAGATGCATGTGGTATTCTTCTTTCTTGAACCGATGACTTATCAGATCGGTTGGTGTGATAATTTGCATTGAGCTTTCTTGCCCGCTCACTCGGAGATCCTTGATGGAGTTGTTGTTTCTGCATATTAGGACTCTTCTGTTTCTTGAAAGTCGAAGAAACAAACTATTCTGGAAGCTCAATATCGAGTATTGGTCGCCATTACTTCTGAGTTAAAAATGGTTGGAATGACTTCTTTCTCTTGAAATGTCACACTAGTCTTATTAAGGTTGATTGTCATTTTATTCGCGATGAGCCACTACGTGGTATTATCTGCACGGAACATGTTCTTACTTTACCTCAACAAGCAAAGTACAAAATTAAAGCTTGGGAAAAGTCATGCTTGGAGATCTTCTTATTCTGAAATTAGATATTTCATTATTATACTCCAGTATGTTTCAACTTGATCGAGGAGGGCGTTACATAATAATAATATGGAGAGTAGAACATACACTCTCTCGTCCTAATTATTTTTTCCATTATATTTGAAAGAACATGCGACATCTCATCTCTCTTAAAACAATTTTATTTACAAATTGGTATAATCCGACTATGATAGAATTAAAACAATAATTAGATCAAAATTAGACTACGAAGGTATTTTTTAAATCTATTGACTCGATTAGAAAATAAAAACAAAAAGGTTACATTGACACTCGTCTAATTGAAACCTCTTAAGTGTTTTGTATGAAAAGGTTATTGTTTTTACTCTTAACCCCTTGAAATTAAATGTATATGCATGTTGTCTCTGTCCACAAACAAAAAAATCATGAAAAATTTGCTCCATATAGGACTAAAAGGCAGTATGTTTCTCTGAATAGAACTAAGTATGTTTTATTCCCTATACGACACATAATTGCATATGATTTGTCATATTTGCCCTTATTAGCAACAAGTGTTAGATAATAACTGATTATACGAATGAATCTATGAATGTGGTCATTAGAAACAAGTGTTGGATAATGACTATTCAAATTATTTTTAATAATGTCTTATTCTACTTGAATTGTGTAATAGGTCGTTTTTCTCAAAAGCAGAACATTTTAGAACTTTCCATTGTCAAACGTTATAGTAGATGAGACTGGTCATATTCAAGAAAAGTAATACTCCCTCCGTCTCAAAAAGTCTTTCCTGTTTCATTTTTGCGCATCCCATAAAACACTTCTACCGACATCTAAAATGCCTAAAAATTACAACATTTCTTCTTTATTGTGGGTAGAAGTTATTTTGAAAGTTTTTTTGGCATTCAAGGCGGGATAGAAGTGTTTTTGGGATGCACAAAAAATGAAACAGGAAAGACTTTTTGGGATGGAGGGAGTATGTTTAAGTTTATTTGCCTAAATTACATCTCCTTGGGTCGGAGTAAACATACAATTAACCGCTCCATTTCCAATTAATCTAGTAAGTTTGACTTTATATTATTTAAGGAAAATATTGAAAAGTAAAAAGTGAAATGTTAAAATATATTTAGAAGATAACCTAAAAATGTATGGAATATCAATTACTTAGGGATGAAGGGCCCGTTTGGGAATAACGTTCTTTATTTGCGTTAGCATTTTAGATTAATTTTTAACCGTGCAGATTTAACTTTGAAAAACTAACGTTAAACACTGTTTGTAAATAATATTTTCAAAACGCTAACGCTAATCTCTAACGTCATTTTCAAACAGGCCCGAAGTAATATATTTGGGACGGAGGGAGTACTAGCTCAGTAATTAATTGGGTACATGAGACGAGAAAGTGGGCACCATACTAAAAAAGGGTTTCATATTGAACACCCAACTCACAAGTCACAACATGCATGTGTCGTGCCGGTTCCATTTTCCTTTGTGACCAGCTAGCATTATATTGGTTAGCTAGCAGGCTTGGTACGTGTAATGAATTCATTCATACCATAAATAGACACAAAAATGTTTGCCATAAAAGTGTTTATCTTTTCTTTCTTTCTTAAATTTGGAATCCAAGGCAAAAGTGGTGAGGGCGGAGGCATGGGATATGCTTTGTGTTTGGAGGTTTCCTATGAGCTACTAGCTAAGATGCATGTGAATATGTGTATATTCATTCAATTCATGCATGATTCATTTTTAACCATTTTCCCCTCTTTCTCATTATATTAGCTATTCTACACTTGAGCTTGTGATTGTAGGCTTAAGAAAGATTTTTATACTTCAACAGGCCCCTTACGTGTAGGCGAGATTTGTTTTTACCCGAGCCTTGCAAGTGAAAAATAAATTTTATAAAGTTGGGCAACACTGAAGTTCAAACTTGTGACCTCTTTGTGGACAAGGCTCCTTAATTTTTTCAAACTATGTGACAATGAGATTTGAACTCGTGATTTCTTGATCATCAAGACTTCGATATTAAGTCAAGGAACTAATTGTAACAACGTGCACTGTTCTTTAACTTTTAAAATTATTTTGTTTACAGTATAAGTATGGAGTAGTTAGGCTTGTCACTGCACCGTGTTTGAACTTATCAAGGAATTAGCTCAATAAAAAGCTTAAAATTGCACGGAGTAGTTAATTTGATAATTTTTTAAATAATGTAATAGACCCCGTCACGTGGAGACATTATTTGTTTTTACTCGAATCTTGAACATAAATATTACCCAGTAATTTTTTTAAAATTGAGTGGTGGTAGTATTTGAACTCAAGATATCATGAACAACATCAAAGAGCCAATCCGACCAAGAACTTAGATTTCTATTTGTAAGTTGTTGGTGATTTTAGTATCAACGGCTATTTTGTGTAATTGGATTTACTTATATCAGACAAGAATTGTAATAGGCGTTGTCTAACGAGTTAGGAGCCGCGAAGTGCGCACTCGTTCAACGATATTACAAATTAATTGCAAGGGTTCAGGGGTGGCAGCCCCCGGGTAGCGGGGTCCAAGGGGCGGCAGTTTTTCGTGAATGGAGTCCAAAATGTTAAAAGTTTTGGACGTGCGGATAGATGCCAAATTAACGCTAAAACCGCAAGAGTCCTCTCGCGCGAACATTTGTCTCCTTAAGGAAACTTTCACATTTTTCTGGGATTTATCTCCTCGCGCGAACATTCGCGTCTTACGTGAATGTTCATGTTTGATCATCAATTTTCGACTCTATAAATAGAGTCTCGAAAGTATGGTTGAGGAATTGGATTTTCAGTGCTTGTTCTTGATTAACGTCTTATCCGATTAAGGTATTTCATATGCTCCGAAATAACTATGATGTGAAAACGTTCTACGCGATTCGTTATACTCTATCAAGTTATTCTTCTCGTTCTCTGTTAACGCTGCTGCGTAGCGTTGTTCCTAAATTCCAATATCCAACACAAGTACAAACCCATCAAGACTCAATCCACTTAATTCGGGTTGTGACGTACGAAGTATGAAATATTTGCACTAAATAGCACTAAAAAAAGTGAATGAAATTTTGACCATGTGAATAGTGAATAAGCATTATAATTTGGGACAGAGGGAATATATTTTCTTATTTTCCTATTAAGAAATAAAATATGCAACTCACTTTTTTACTCTTCATCACACCTCACGCTTTTGCTCGCTCTTTTTTCCCCTTTTCTACACAAATTTCAACTACACCTTTTACTTCTGTACATTTTTCTTAAAATCTGTAGAGTCAAACTACGGACATCATCCTAGAACAAAGGGAGAGTATATTTCCCCGTACTAGATACCGATAATTACATTTGCAGTTTGGAGCAAATGACTATTTTTCGATATATGAATACAAATTTCATCACAATATTTAAAAATTTTAATTCATAAAATGAAAGATTTGGTACCTACATGATACCACCCCCAAATCCCAGTGCAATGCTGCATTGGCTTTATTGGAAGTAAGATGCAAAAAGAGTTTCATGTGTCATTTTAACCTAAAAGCCAAAACATTATCAATAATGGACTCCTTTAGCTCCATTGGCAATTTAGTAATTTGGCTATAAAATGAGCAAAAAAACCTCATAAGCTAAATTATTCTTCAAAAATTGGATTGTAAATACACTTCTAGAGTCAAACAAAAGAATAAAATTGATGGGAATAATTTCACTATCCTCATTCTACTTTAATAAATCCCAAATCTAAGTATGAATAAGACACACTTGCTAGCTTCTTGTTTATGGCATTGTCCTTGAAGATCCCTTATTTTAAATTATCTCCAGAGATTATTAACAGCAAGAATCATTAGGATGATTATTATTATTACCGGAACAGCCAATATGTGGTGATTTCTTTGCTCTGAGATCATCCAGGTGATTCTGATACAGGTAATCTGAGAATCCCAATATTGACAACAACAAGGCAATGATCTTGATACCCTTCATCTTGTCGTGCAAGATGACGACCGAAGCAATTGGAGTAACTGCCAAAGAGAGAGTGCTTATAACGTTGGAGAAGAGTGAGGAGACCACAAAAATCAGACCCACAACTCCCACCGCGCAAACCTGCCACCCTACACCTGTCCATACCAAAACCTGAACATACGCGGCTTTTCCTGAAGTGAAACTGTGCATTTCTCCGGACAAAGTCCTCCACTGTCCACTCACAAACAGACCGACGACCGAGAAAAGTGTGGCCACAAGTGATGTGTATATTTGCATCTCAAGAACCACAGAGAATGTTTCTTTCTTTATCACTCTCTGAAACGAGAGCTGCATCAAGGAGAGCGTGAGGGAGTACAATGCAGAGGCTATAATGGCAGCTATGATTCCGAACAAATATTTCCACCTGGTGACGCCTGCAGGTTTGTCCGAGTCCTCGTCAATGGAAAGAAGAGAAGCAGCTAATGAAAGGACAGTCACGGAGTTTATGATGAGCGCTGTGAACTTTTGGCCATTGATGAAGAAAGAAAAAATTGCATTGAAGACAAGCTGTGTCGCACAAATGAGGGAATAAGTCGAGGCCGAGAGGTACAAAAGTGAAATGGAATATAGCATGTTGTCCCCGGCAATGAGGATACCCAGCAAAAGGTAGATTATAACAACTTTGTACGGGGAAGGTGGAGGTGGAGGGCGATTTAATGAATCAGACGAGTGTTCTTTGGGAGAGGGAATGAGAAAATAAGGGATTAAGAGAATAGGAAAACCAGCTGTCTGAATAATGGTGGCCAACCAAGTACTATTACCGCCCTTGTCATAGTATATTCTACCAAGAATGATAGCAGCAGCTTGACCAACAAGAAGGAACACCACATTCAGAGATAGCAGCAGCCAGAACTGCACGCCTTTGGGCTTCATAAGTGAATTCTGTTCGTTTGAAGCATCATTTTCTGTTGTAAGAAAATACAAATGGTAAAGGATTTAGAAGATCACAAAAGAATTCTTTGCATGACTAAATCCTTCAAAGCAATTCAATCAATAAGCCACCTATGCAATAGAGATTGAGAAAGAAAGGGGGGAGGGAGAATGAACCCCATTAAATTTCTTAACCAGAAGCCGTAAAATAGAACACACATGTAAACAGTGAAAGTGTAAAACACACATGTATAAGGAAGAGAGAAGAGAGACCTGCCATGAAGGGATGTAATCCGTCCTCCAAAGAAGTGTAAACAGCGGCCCAAGATTGAGAAAGCTAAAATGAGTGAGGAGAGAAGAACTTACTGTCCACTGCAAATGATAAGAGAAACTAAATGTGAAATTGGGATTTAAGTGTAACCTAGTAATCTTTAATGTGCAAATTTATCAAGAATATCATCAAAAGTATTGCCGTTATAGTTAACCAAGAGATGTGATGAAAGTAATCCCACCGAATGGTTACAGTTAACCAAGTGGATTATCAAGACTTTAGCAGTGAGAATGCAACAATATTACAATGTCATCAAGGCATATCACCGAAGGGGCCAAACTCATAAAGAGGCCACGGATCCATATCTTCCACTCGATTAATAATGGTGACCAAATCATGGTAAACGACTCACTTGAGTAACAACGTGCTCCAGATCTAGTGCAGGGGGACCATTCAATGTTTTTAAAATTTCAGGGGGAATCCGCGTAATTTTTAAAGTTCAGGAGGAATCCGTGCAATTTTTGAAGAATTCGGGGGTAAATGATGCAAAAAAACACAGAGAAAATTAAAGAAAAGAACTTAAAACAAAGGGTTTACATGCTTGTTTTGAGATTTGGAATGTTCCAAGGCATATAACTATATGTAGGTTTCACACCAAGATATTGGAGATTTCGTGTTATAGTTTAGCTATGAAGATGCAAAAATAGTAATGTGACAAGCACGTGGTAATGAAGGGGATTTGTGAAGAGGAAAACCCCCTAGTATTACTGAGACCTACCTATCACATGAACAATAAACAGTAGGAAAACAAAGGCAGATAGTATATGTAGAAGTGTAGAAGTAAAATAGCACAAGAAAAACTAGAAAAGCAAAGGTATTTTTCCAAGAACTAGAGTTAACCAAGTGATGTGATCAAGAATCACACACCTACAATCGTTTGTGCGGTCTGTGATATACTTGGTGTAAAAGTTGGGGTACAAACTTTTGTGTCACGGGGACATTGGGTGTGGTGTCATCCCGACTCCGGTGTCAACAGAACCTAGCAGCAGCATACCTGAGTATAATATACTGTAACAGAACTATTCCGTACTCCACACCAGCCAATATACCCACAACCTACTCTTTGAGGAATTCTATCGAACACATGCCAGGCATGAATACACAGTGAACTCAAGAACAACATCATCCTAAAAATGCACTTTTTCTCGAAAAAAAAAGAAGAAAAATGATCACCTGGAAGATCAGAGCGGCGCGGTGTGTCGGCTAGTAAACTCCTTCCGTGAACGTGCGAAGAAGAAAAGAGGGCGTAAGGGAGACGGGAGAAAGAGTTTCACTTGCAGAGGGAAACGAATCACGGATCAAACTGGGTGGAGGAGAATAAAAGAGGAGAGGAGAGCACTCTGTCACAGACTCACAGATAAGACCAAAAAATTAATCAAAATTTGTACTCTCTTAGAAATCTCTTTGATAGTATAGTGCTTTGCACGATTCTTATTTACTTAATGAAGTTATATTAGTATCATTGTTGGGAGTGTATATGGTACATCGGGATGTACCTAGAAATAGGTACATCCGGATAATACTCATTTTGAAGTAAAGTGGTACTCATTCTCGTATTGATAAGCATTAATTTTAAAAATCATTTACTCATTCTGAAAAGACGTAGTACTCATTTTCACACAGTTCTAGAGTATTCATTTAGGAATAATCTAATACACATTCTAAAACCTAGTAGTACTCATATCCACACAACTTAGTACTCATTCTTCGACTACTTATCATAGTTCATGCCCTAACCTCTATTCCCAAGATCTTGAATTCTGCAGAACCTGGAAATCGAACGGAAGAACAAATCTTCACCATCATCATCATCACCCATCATCCCAAAATCGAATGGAAATCGAACGGAAGAACAAATCTTCACATCATCATCGATCATCACTGTCGTCGTCGATTCGCACAGCATCACAGATCCTCGCGAATTTCCCATCGGCTAGCCTCCTTCATCGCTGATTCCTTCCCGTTCGCCCCTATTAAACGCTGGCTGTACCTATCTCTAGGTACAGCCGGATGTATAATATAATTTGCGGTCATTGTTGAAGAATATACATAGATCACTTAATAAAATACGGAGTATAAATTTTAATCTCTATAATGTTTGACCTGTTTAATAATAAATAGATTTTCATAAGAAAAAAATGTTTGGTTCACAAACAAAATGGTCACAAACTTACTATTTGTGATTTTTTTTAAAAAAGTAAGTAGTCTAATTTTTTTTTAAAAATGAGATTCTAAATCATAAATGCTAAGTTTATAAATTTTGTGACTATTTTGTCTGTGGACCCAACATTTCTCTTTTCATAAATAGCAAGATGGTCAAGCGCGCACCAAATTTCCATAAGTTTAATAATAAACAAATTTCCATAAATTTAATATGCATATATATAGCTGATACAATTTGATAATAACTTGTCTTATTGAATATTGAGAGATATGGCCCTATATATAGGGAATACAAGAGTAATCAAAGTACAAGTAGGAAAGGAAAGAATAATCCTAGTAGGAAAGGAAAGAAGTATCCTAATTTAATTATACTTCCTAATATCCCCCCGCAAGCTGATCAACGGAGACGAGGGGCAGCTTGGAACATAAGTACTCAAAAGGAACTGGCGGAAGCGGTTTGGTAAGAATGTCTGCTAGCTGCTCTGAGGAGGAAACATGATGTGGAGTCATAGTGCCTGCCATAACCTCATCTCGTACAAAGTGACAGTCTGTGCCCACATGCTTCATGCGATCATGAAGAACCGGATTTTTGGTGACACAGATAGTCGACTCATTGTCACAGTATAACTTCGGTTTGGACGGAGGAATACCCAGTGCATCAGTGATATATCGAAGCCACATAGCTTCTGCAACCCCTGCAGCCATAGCTCGATATTCAGCTTCAGTGGATGATCTAGAAACACGAGTCTGCTTTTTCGTGCACCAAGAGATGATATTAGGACCGAGTAGGAGTATGTAGCCCGTGGTAGACTTGCGATCATCTTTATCATTGGCCCTGTCAGAGTCAGAGTAGACAGATAGGTCGAATCCCCCCTTGCGAAAAAGAAGACCATGATTCAAAGTGCCTTTGAGAT